TAGTGAGTCGATTGCACCCAAGTGTAGTTATATAGTTTATATGCACATTTCTATTGACCTTTTTATTTCGTCGGCAGTAAACTAGTTTCAACCGATAAAGCATTAAAAATTTCAATTACCTATAAAACATTTTCTTTACTTTTACTGTTAAAAACTGCTCCTAATCGGATTTAAACGGTCGTTAGTGACATAAGGGCCATTTAGAAATTTTAACACCCATGGTTTTTGTATAGATGTCGCTCTATACAAATATTTAATTAAATTTATTTTTAGTTGGTAATAAGTTTTTTTTTTAAGTTTATTATGCAAGTTTTTTAAAACTTTTCTAGACACTCATTTTTATGCCTGATTAAAATTTGTGACTAAAATATCATTTATCAAATTTAATACATATACGTAATATTATAATATAACCTTTGTTTTAAAAAGCTTAAACGCGCTAATGTATTATACATAAAATATATACATAAATTTGACCTACACGCATTTTCTTGCATTGTAGTAGCGTTTCCACTTAAACATTTTTTAATTGCAATCTAATGAAGAAAACACGCAACGCTGTCGACAAACTATGCATAGTTATATAATTTTTATTGTCAAGGGTTATTTTAAAATTGGACTGCTTTTCAATAATTTAGAGAACTGAACCCATATAACCCATAGAGAAATTTTTCTATAACTGAACCGGTCCAACATTTTTATGGTAGGTGGGGATGAAGTTTGTAAACTAAAAAATAAATAAATAAATGAATGTATTTAAAATAGCTTTTGCTATGCGCAGTGTGCAAAGTTGAGCGTTGCTTTCAAAATCACTTTTTGTTTTTTTTTTATTATAGTCCAATTTTAAAAGTAATCGATCCCAAACCTTACGGTAATCGAACATAACCGAATGGACGATTTTTGAGGTACTAGACTTTTTTCAAAAGTTACTGCTTTTCAATGTACAGGGGGTTCTTTTTCCAAAACATTAATTTTTGTGGGGCACTTGGAATGAAAATAATTTAAAAAAAACTACGGATTCATTACGAGGATAAGTGTACCTAAAAATCTAGGGTAGAACGAACTGGCTCATTAAAGCCGTTTGGGAAATAAAATATGGGTTTTTTTAAAAAAGAACCCCCTACATTGAAAAGCAGTAACTTTTGAAAAAAGTCTAGTACCTCAAAAAATCGTCCATTCGGTTATGTTTGATTACCGTAATGTTTGGGATCGATTACTTTTAAAATTGGGCTAAAATAAAAAAAATCAAAAAAGGGATTTTGAAAGCAACGCTCAACTTTGCACACTGCGCATAGCAAAAGGGCAAATCATATAGGTGCGCAATGGGGTTTAACTTGTGCCTTATTTAGTACATAATCAAAAGTATTAGAGGTCAAATTCTGAAAAAATGCACGGTTAGCGAGTTATGAGCCAAAAATCAAAAAAACTCCCCTTTCGGGGGATGAAATTGGGACGCGGAAAGAAATTTTTTGGAAATATTCTTGATTCATTATCAGCACCCCTGACTCTACTTTAAAAAAACCCGACTACCATCAAGTTTTCCTTCTACAACCTTTGTTTCCTGGTCTATAAATCAAATTTAAACATTGCCTTCTTATTTAATAAAAATATCAAAAAAGAAAAAGAAAATGGTCCCCTGGGTCACAAATTTACTAACATTAAAAAAACTTATATAAAAATGCTTAATAATTTTGAAAATATATTTTTTTGCTTGTTAATAATCCTTTTAAGGCATTATTTACACTATAATTTGTTTAAAAAAGAACATAAATTTATTCTTTATAAAAAGTAAAAAACTAAGTAAAAGCAAAAACTATGTTCTATTTCTTAAATATACATAAGTATATTTAATATATTTTTTGTATTTAAAAAATGACCATTAAAAAAAGTTTAAGAGATTTGTCTTTTAATGCGTATTAAATACGTTTTTCCTCGATTTTTTATCTGGGCCCAGCTTGTCCAATTTAACGATAACAATAAATTAATAAAAAGTTTTAGTTATTACTAATAATAATAATAAAATAATAATAAAAATCAATATAAACAATTGTTTCGTTGAACTACCAAAAAATTTTTTCCAGCTTCTTTGAGGCAAACTACATTGACTAGGAAAATAACTATTAAAAAGGTGGAGTACATTCTTTTAAATTGGCTATGTACCTACTGTCAGAAACAGAAAAGGAAGAAATTCGAAATAAAAATGTTTTTAAAAAGTTTATTATTATTTCAAAAATATATTATAATTTATTTCTTTGGAATTGTCCCCTTGGTCACATAACTTTCCCCTGGGTCACACAATATGTGATCCACGAGATATGTGACCAAGGGGGGAAATGTATGTTTTTAGAACGTTATGTTTTAATGTTTTAAAGATAAAAAATTGTATTTTTGCTCTTAAAACCATTACTAGGATACATTTTTTGAGAATCAGACAACTTGTACCTTTACTACTTTTTATTACTATGACAAAGGAGAATGCACAATTTTGCCACGCTAGTATAAAAAATACAAAAAAACGTGTTGTGGCTTCAAGATAGTTCAAAACACCATTTTCTACTAAAATCCGTTACCAAATACATTACCGCAAGGGGGCAGCACCAAAAAATGTGCGCTTAATTCAAAAGCTCATTTATAAAAGCTGTGACCCAGAAGACGTGACCTAGGGGACCAAAATTAAGGGATACATTTTAGGGGTTATTTTAACCACTTGTATTTTTAAATATTACCACAAATGGGCTCTTTCTGTAATATTTGGAAAATATTCTCAACTCAATGTGTCGCGACCAAAAAGTTCGTTCTTTTTCAAAACGACATAACTTTTTTGTTTCTTGAACGATTTAATTTTGGTTTGTGATGTCTGCTAGCCTCATCCTCTGGCAATTTATGCTATAGATATGAAGCTCACGGTTGGTCAAGTAAACTTCCTACAGGGTGATATGTTAAACGGTGAAAAATTTCAATAACTTTATCCAAGCCCCGTTTGTAAAATAATAATTTTTTTTTCGTTTTTACTTTGAAATAATGAAGTATTATGTGTTACCTTGAAACGTTTTTAAAATTTTTCGAATTGGAATCTTAGCAACGAAAATATGATTTTTTTTTCCCAAAGAGTACATTTAAGGCTTTTTTTTAGGCAATACACTCAGTCTTTTTAGGAGTAAGAAAATAAGAAGGTGAAAGATTGTTACTTAAATATTTCTGAACAAGCGACAAGCAACAAACTTCCATTATTTTCAGAGGGCCTAAGCTAAGACCACTTTTTGAAAATGACATTTTTGTTAAAGTTTACAAAAACTAAACCTAAACCGATATTTACTTTCATAACATGTTTTCTTCATAATTTTGACCTCCTGATTGTGATTCAGTTGTCAAATTTAAGTTTCAGATAAAACTAAAATCACTAAGAATCAAGATTCGAAAACAATTCCCGGCTGTTAAATATGTCAATAAAATCCGATTGCTGTTTTTTACTGTTTTTTCACATATCGTAAATGAGTATTTAAAGGACCACCATATTAAGAAAATGAATTGGCCACCTTTGTCTCCGGATATGAATCCTATTGAGCATGTGTGGAGCAGGATAAAATTGAAATGATGAAAGAGAGGGAAGGAGGCATGGAAAATTTGGATGAATTGGTAAAAGCTATTCAGAAAGAATGGGGCACCCCAGAAATTTCTAAGGAACTTGGTCCCCAGGAGGGTTAACGAATTATTACGGCTTAGGGGAGGGCCAACGAAATATTGAAAGGTTATTGTTATTGTTTGTTACATTTTTCTGTTGAATGTTGAAGTTTTGATTATGATTATATCTACGCATACAATTTTCAAAAATGAACAAAAATATTAATATTTAACTTTATTATAAATTAGGTAGGTACTTATCAATGATGTTATCACTACTGCCCGATGTAAATGTAAGTTATGTAACATTATCCTAACCACTCAAACAAATTGCAGTAATTTCGCCCAAAAAATGAATCCCCAAATGGCATTTTCATCATAAATATGCAAGAAACACAACAGCAATTGGATTTTATTAAGACATTTAACAACAGGCAATGGTTTTCGAATTTTGATTCTTGATGATTTTGGTTTTATCTGAAACATAAATTTGACAACTAAATCACAATCAGTTCAAAATTATAAAGAAAACATGTCACGAACGTAAATATCAGTTCAGGTTTAGTTTTCGCAAATTTTCACCAAAATGTCATTTTCAAAAAGTGGTCTTTGCTTAGGCCCCTCTGAAAATAATGGAAGTTTGTTGCTTGTCGCTTGTTCAGAATTATTCAAGGAACAATTTTTTACCATCTTATTTTCTTGTTCTTAAAAAGACTGAATTTATTGCCTACCAAAAAGCCTTAAATGTACTCTTTTGGAATAAAAATCATATTTTCGTTGCTAAGATTCCAATTCGAAAAATTTGAAAAATGTTTCAAGGTAACACATAATACTTCATTATTTCAAAGTAAAAACGAAAAAAAAATTATGGTTTTACAAACGGGGCTTGGATGAAGTCATTGAAATTTTTCACCGGTTTACATATCACCCTGTAGGAAATTTACTTGAAGAACCGTATGCTTAATATATATAGCATGAATTGCCAGAGGATGGGGTTAGCAGACATCATAGACCAAAATAAAATCGTTCAAGAAACAAAAAAGTTATGTCGTTTTGAAAAAGGACGAACTTTTTGGTCGCGACACATTGAGTGGTGCGCAGTTTATATAAAAAAAGGAGGATGTTATTTTACTCTAAGATGTTTAAATAACATTAAGTAGTAAATATTATTGCAAGCTACTTTTCTGTACTGTTGGGGAAAGTTTAATTTTTTTATAGTGTTAAATTTAAAATTTTACAATTTTGCTAATATATAGTTGCTAAAAACACTTAAACCAATTGATTTCGCTTATTAAAGTTGCAAATTTTTTAAAATATTAAAGTTAAGGGACAAGAAATTTGAAAATAATCTGTATTTAAATCACCCTCGTATATGGTCATCAAAAAAGACGTAAATAAACATAAATTTTAACCAACCTGTTTAGAAGTAGGCTATCGACAACTGCTTGATCGTGTTGGTTCCTGATGCTGGCCAGATGTCCTCCTCTGCGAGTGCATTCCATCTCAGCCTGCGCCCAAGGCAGGCGGGGTCCTTCCGGAGCGGACACACAAAATTGGCGAAGTGCCACCCATCCGAAACCGCACATACCCACGATACTTTCGACCGGCTCCGCTCGGTACGTCATCCGTAATCCCAACGCGCCCCCACTTCCACTACGCACAGATACTTTTAGCACTACTTTGTTTTCCCTCGACACCATTTCGATCTGTCTCTCCGCGTCTCCCGCTATCGTGCAATGGGACCATGTGTTGCCGCCGTCGTGGAGCTGGGTGAGCAACCCGTTGCACAAGCTGTCGCTGTTTTTGTTGTCCTGGAAACTTGAGCCTGTCTCGGGAGAGCCTGAAGAATTTTTATCGTGGGATAAGAAATAATAAATAAATGTAACAGGAAATTGTTTATACATTTAAGTTAACATTTATAAATTATTGTAATTTAAGGTAACTAAAGCTTCATAAATAAATTCATAGTTTACTGTTTAATAACTTATTACACACCTCGTACACACCTCGTACTAGAGGTGGCAAGTTTGATTCCGATTCGTTCAAAAAGAACGAATCATTTAAATGAATGGAATGAATCGAACAAAGTTTGTTAAAAAATCAATTCTTTTTTGAATCAATTCTTTTTTTAATCATTTTTTTTTAATCACGATGAGTGAACTAAAACGTGAATCAAACCAATAAATAAATATAAACTTGGTTACAAGCACTGAATTAAATGCTAGGTTCGGATCACGCGCTACACTACGCTAAAATGTCGGTCTTTTTGAATAGGTAACTGGTGATATTTCTAGGGATATTTCAGGGAATTTTTCGTCAAATATCAAAATACTCTTTTGATTCAAAAGTTTCCAATACAACCTACTTGTATTTTGTTTTTTTATGTAAGCTGTGGTGTTATTGCACCGGAAAAGCCATTAATTTACACGTAAACAAAATAAAAATCGAATACAATAATTTAATAATACAACCGTTGACTCATTTAATTTAACGATACAACCAATACAAGTCATTACACACGATTCAAGAACCAAGTCATTAATTCGGTCGAACCTGAATTGTTCGTTAATTATCTGTTCCTGAACCAGAAAGTGAATCACTCGCGAACGAATCTTTATGAACGAATCATTTTAAAAGAATGAATTAAAAGAATTGATTCACCATAAAGAATCGAACTTCCCACCTCTACCTCGTACAGTGCGTCAACAAATTTACCTACTTGGTTTAAAATTTCATATTTGCAATATTTGCAAAATTACAGTGTAGTTTTAATGCTTAAATTTTAAACCAAGTAGGTAAATTTGTTGACGCACTGTACCAGGTGTGGATAATAGGTTCTTGGACTGATTATTTTTCCTAACACTGGAGTCGATAAATGTGGCTTAAATTAAGTGTTGATAGCATTTAGTAAACAGTTATAATCAAGCAACAAAAAAATAGTTTTTTTGATTTTTTTAGACCTAATCTATGAACTTTTTGTTTTTAGTTAAGTCCTTACAACAAATAACGTATTGTTGTTTTTGGTCGTCACTCAACATTTTTAAAACAATTTTAACGCAGTTTTTCAATTTTTCTTTGTTTAAATCGTACAAGGTATATGGGGAGGTCCAAGGATTCTACATACTTTTTAAAGTATAGGTACTTTGTAATTATATAAATTAAGAAAATGTTTATACTTTTTTTGTATTTTTTTATTAATTAATTTTTTTTTACTAATTAAGACACAATTTTTTTTCCATTTGCAAAAATGCGAATATTTCGTTTACTGTCAGGTTAAGATATATATATGTATAATATTTTGAAAAAAATATATAATTTACTTTTAGCTTAGTTATTAATAAAGAGATGGATACTACTTAACATAAAAAATAATTTTGTTTAGTTTTAGAAAATGTATACAATGTATACTATACATTTAAACAAATACTAAAACAAAAAATTACTTAAAAGTAGGGTTGTACAATTTAGCCGGGTAAGCCGGCTAAAAAAGTTAGCTAAGTTAATTAGCTAGCTAACTGATCAGCTTAGCTAATTTAACTGGTTAAATGAATTAGCTTAGCTAATTAGCTGGCGGCTTAACCGGTTAATCTAGCTAATCTCAGTTAATTAGCTAACGGCTAACCGGCTTAACGGCTACTTAGATAACCGGTTAAATTAGCTAAGCTGATCAGTTAGCTAGCTAATTAACTTAGATAACTTTTTTAGCCAGCTTAACCGGCTAAATTATTAAAAGTATAAACATTTTCTTAATTAATATATTTACAAAGTAAATGACACATCTTACGTGGACCTCCCTGTACCACTAAAAAGGGTTAAACACTGACCCTGCTCATTTCTAATTTAAAAGCAATTATCCTTGTGGTAATCAAATGATGTACTTAATGATGTACTTACATCAAAGATTGACGGTTTTTGAAAGCAAATCTCTCTAATATTCTTCCATGTACTCTTTTTTCTTCCCAAAACCTCACAAATCACAACATTTCGATGACTTCAGTGCAATTTTTTCACAAGGAATTAAATGTTCGTTCGAATAAACAGTTTTGCTCCATTTATGACCAAAGACTAAATTAGTGCTAGGAAAAAAAATGCCAAATCGCACCTGTTCATCCAATCATGGTCACCATCGACACCAGAAAAAGAATCAGTCCACGAACTTATTGTACAGTGTACAATATACTGTCCGTTCAGGCTAAGTTGAGCGGTCTAAGGAATGTCACGCCGTCCATCATCTCTATGTTTAGGCACAATTAAATACATGTATTTCGGTAACCGCTCTGTACGAACAAACGGCAAGTCGCGGCACTGATAAATCATCTTCTTGTTACCAAAATCTCGCGACGATTCGATGTTTAATTTAATTAACAGCCACATGATCCCTCACCAAAGCGCTCAACTTAGCCTGAACGGACTGTACACACCTTGTAATACAAGGCTCGTATAATATTGAAACAAAAATATATATTCCTTAGTATTATAACAATTATAATAATGCTCATTAATTATTAAAATAAAGTAAAGTACGTTTTATAAAAATTTATTGATTTACGAATTGGTTAATTACTATTAGTTTATTTATTTTTTTACAAAAAATAATAATTTAGGGGTAGAAATATTTTGTTACCAGTAGATGTACTATCTCCGATTTGTAAATTCATAGCCACTCGATTACCATAAGGAAGGTAAATTTTAAACGTGCACTGCAGCTCTCCACTTGGCTTTAGTTCAAAGGAGCCGTTTTTTGCTACAAACGTTACGTTGTAACAGTAATCCACTAAATGGTAATTCAAACTGAATATTGGAGAACCATGAACCTAAAACAAGAAGAAATTTTTGTGTGAACTATAAATACCCATTAATTTCATATTAAATTTACTTTAAATCCTAATAATAACTTAAATCTAATTTAAAAAGAGATACTTTTTTATATTACTTCAATATACGATGTACGTAATAAATTATTACTAATAATTGCTGTTTTCCCCGCAATATCGTAATTAAAATTGTAACAATTCTTTTAAAAAATATAATAGGGTGGTCCTTGATGGGGTTATTTTTGAATTGTTATGCTCACGGGGGCTTAAACGGTTTCAAACTAATAAAAAAAAATTATTGTAATTTTCCAGTTTGGCAGTCCAAAATACATCAGAAAAAAATATCACAACCGTTACATTTTTCATAAAACGTTTTTACACGGAGAAAAAAGTTTATGCTCCCAAATAAAAAAAATATTTAAATATGGGACAAGGGTACAGTTTATTTATCCTAAATATATTTTTATTCCCGACATATAAAGTTTTACTAAAGTATATTTATCGTTATTATTTCGACTATTTAGAGGTAATAAACAATATATTCACTACAAATAAAAGTATTAGGTAAACAGTTTATTTGTCCCATTTTTTTCTCAGTGTAGTTTTATATAAAGAGCTTAAATTTTTAAGGGATTCGAAAGCGTTTATGCCCCTGGGAGAATAACAATTCAAAAACAACCCTAATCAGAACACAGTGTATAAATATATAATGATCTTTCATAAAATCCTTAGAACAGCGGTATCTTAATGTTAAGATATTTTAATAATTTAGTCCTTGAATTTTCCAATGTATGTTTTGCAGAGTATCTTATTATACAATATTTTTAGTTATTTATTATTTTGGCTTTATCTAGCTATCTGAAATTATGTTGTGTTAAATTAAATATTAAAAGAATTGAACATTCACCTGGCCAAGGTTTTTGTTTTGAATGCGTTCCACCAACTTTTAGACAGACATCTCGCCGTTGTTGGCTTACCATGGCACCATATAAACTGAGGCAGTATTTTGTTTTGGATGTGTTGAAACAATTATTGGCTTCACCAACTTTACACACTTTTGTTTTGTTAATACACTGCAAATTACTTTTTAAACGATTGCGCATGCGTCGTTAAAGGCGCAATCAAGGATCGATTTCCATCGTTACCGAAAAATTTGACAACTAACTGCCATTTTGAAAGCCGGAAAAACAGGTTCACCATTTAAATAAATTAGTAATATTTTTTTTTACACCTACTAATATTTGTCGTAGAAAAAGTTTATTGTGCATCTCGTTTATAAACTCTACTAGACACTCATTTCGAAAGCCTAATAAAAATTTGTGACTTAAATAGCGTTTATCAAACTTGATAATAATATACCATTTTACGGCCAAACAACATAAAAATACATTTTTTAAATAACGTATCGTTAAAGTCTATCACACAAAAAACACTTTTTTTTTTTTAATTTAATTTTTACTTAGAAGTAGAACTACAAATGTACTTGCTTGCATATTTGTTAAGTGCATGCAATTGTTACATTAAAAACTGAAATTTTAAAATAAAGTAATACTGGCACACTGCGATCTGGTGGGTGGTGTGGTGCGCTATCTTTAACAGTTGGTAACCCCTATTTGCGGTCACTTTTACACTGGCAACCGTTTACCATCGTAAAAAAAATAGCTTTAATTTGATAAATAATTCATTAAAACACGTTACAAGTGCAAATATTGAACGGAATAATACCTGTATACACCTGTTTGCCAAGAGGTTTCGGCCAAGTGAGAAACGGCAACCCATAATTTTTAGTTCTTCACATATCTCTCTATATAAATTATATTTTATCTTGAAACTAAGTGAGTGCAATTGTTTAGAAAAAAATAATTAAATATATACATACAGGGTGTTTCAGAATAAGATGCTGAACCTTAAGGGTGTGAATCCTTAGTTGATTTTAAGAAAAAAAGTTCAAATAAACCTATGACCTAAACCTCTTAATTTTTGAGTTACAGGGTGTTTTAAGAAAAAAATCGTTTTTTATCATAAATTTAATAACTTCCTAGATATTTTTATAAAATTTGGCACACGCCATCTAAGCATTAACAGTAAGTTTTTGATGTAGAAGAGTTTTTATTTTTTTTACCAGTGGCGTCCATACAGGATGTGGTCTAGATATTTTTGGAAAAATATTATGCACGCCACTGCTATTTTTCAAAATTAAAATTATTTTTAGAATCCCCATTCATTTTAGGGCAAATTTGATTTCCTGACCATTTTTCGTACGACTAACGGTTTTCGATGAAAAAAAATAAAAAGCATTTAATGCGCATATTGAGAAAACAATGCCATGATTAAATAAATATTAAAATTAAATTTAATTATTTAATAATTTTAAAAGAACTAACATTAAATAACATAAACAAAAACAAAAATAATTTAGATTAGCTGTTGAAAGTGGCCACCACCTGCAAGTATGAGTTTCGTACCCTTAGAAAAATTCCTGAAGTATTTCTGATAGTGTCCCAACAAACTACATGTATTATGCGGTTTCTCAACTCCTAGTATTTATTGGGGTGCTGTAAACCAACGCCTTAAAATGCCTTAATATCTAGGTTATTAAAGTTCTGATAAAAAAACGATTTTTTTCTTAAAACTTTAACACCCTGTAACTTAAAAATTAAGAGGTTTAGGTCATAGGTTTATTTGAACTTTTTTTCTTAAAATCAACTAAGGATTCACACCCTTAAGGTTTAGCATCTTATTCTGAAACACCCTGTACATATATGAATATTTGCGGCCATATTTTTATTGGCAACCTGGTAGAAACAGGGGGTGTCAATCCCGAGCCCTTTTTCCAATCCCAGGACTTTCGGAACCAGAGGTAACTAATCCCGGCATCATGGGATCAGTCCCAAAAAATATACAGCCCGTTCAGAATGAAACCGAATATATATATATATATATATATATATATGGGGCCTGGCCTCGCCTCCCTCCAAGGCGCGTCATAGTAGCTTGTGTGATAAAAGACATGACGAAAGGTCGAGCAGGTAAGACGACTTAAAAAATTAAATGATAATAATGCAAAAAATCTCATTAGCGATGCAGGCTATTTGCTTAGCTACTGTGTCGCGCGTTGGAGGGAGGCGAGGCCACGCCCCATATATATATATATATATATATATATAGATATATTCGGTTTTATTCTGAACGGGCTGTATAATTTTAAAACCAATTTAAAATAAAGGAACAAACAAACCAACGAACGATATCTTTCGGACTTCACACCAGTTGGAGAAATGGTTTTCAAGAATTTGTAGGCACATTGTACCCACGCTTACCCCCATTAACAACTAATTCTATTTCTTTTATCAATCGGGCGTTGGTGAGTTTTAATTGAGGGGCTTGGAAGTAAAACGGTTCAAGTGCACTTTCTTAAATAAATGGTATAAGTGCAGAATATCACACCTAAAGAATATTCTAACTTAGTGATAAAATTATATAAATACATTTTACATTCCCTGGTGCCATTTCTTATCGTCTTTAAAAACCTGTCAAAATATTTTGGAAAAACGATTTAAGTGCACCTTTTACTGCTAAACATAGGCTATTATCTATGCTGCTAAAGCCTTGACAAGTATTTCAAAACAGACCATACCATTGAGCCAATTTAGATCAACCCCAACCAAGACCAGCTAATTCAGATGAAAACGTTGTATTAGATTCTGATTATGAATAATACTTTTTGTTATAAAACTTAACCAAATTTTAAAAAATAAAGTTTTGACTAGTACAGTAATTGCATTTAAATAATTTTACCACTAAATTTTGTCTTACATGCATGACGATTCAAGTACATTTTTGTAAAAAAATTAACAAAAAAGCGAAATTAAAAAATTCCTTTTTCTTTATAATCCTGTTTTGTCTTTAATACTAAAATATTCACGCAGTTTTTAAACTCTTTTCTAGAATTTTAAAATTCAAGTTAACTTTAAATCCATTTATCTCAGAACTAACAAAAATGCACTTAAACCCTTTTACTTCTAGGCCCCTTAATTGTAACTTTCATTCAAATTTGTGACATTCTTTTAGGTTTGACGTAAGGAGATTATATTCAGGAGCTTCAACTCCATATAAATTCGAGAAGTGGTGGGGTCCATAAAAACGTCGCACGTGTACGATGACCGATAACGCAAAATTGATTTCTGCGCATCTCCCCTCCTATCCTTTGCAGAGATAAAGAAGGTATTTTTTAACCTACATTACACAGAACAATATTTTGTGCATCTGTCAAGCGTCAAACGTGTTAAACCCATGTGGTTAAACCAATGCTTACCTTTACCAAAAGGCCGTTGCTAGTCGTCCGTATAATCGGACGAAAAAAATATATTAATCGTCCGATTATCGGACTCAAACTCAACAACACAACCCAACCGACCCCGCCCCATTGGCCCCCCCCGCCCCATTGAACAAAAAACCCAACTAAAATGGGCAAATTTATGTTACGATAAAAATAAAACACTTTTTAACAAAGCAACAACAAATTTATGAAATAAAAAAAGTTCGACAACTTCTAGTAGATTTTATGTTACGATAAAACTAAAACAAACCAACCAACCCAACCCAACCGAACACTGTTTAACAAAGAAACAACAAATTTATGAAATAAAAAAATAAAAAAAATTCGACAGCTTCTTAGTATCGAACCCGGGACCTCTCGCATGCCAAGCGAACGCCCTACCATATAAGCTATCTAGCTTGTTGTCAAATATTAAACGGTCGGTGAACAAAAGCGGATTATAATTATGACGTAACTAACGTAAATTCTCGGAGGACTAGCTTCATTTTATTCGTCCGATGATCATCGGACAATTAGACAAGTCGTTACCAAAATCGTAAATAAGCTTCTAGAAGATTATAATATAATATAATAATATTTTATACTATAATAAAATCATTGTAGTAAACAGAACAGTTTTCTAAAACAGTGAGTAAATTTATGAACTAATTAGTATTACTGTCTTTGGAGCAGAAAACCTATACTATGTTAATTTGGTCATGCATTTAAATTTCACGTATAAAATGACTTTTGCAATGTAAAATAAGTCGATTGCAAGTTCTTTGGTCTAATCATTACACTGTAATGTTTCATTATAAACTTACTAATCCTATTTCAAATAACTGATGTGCAGGTTTTTCTTTCCTTGCGAATGAAAACAATTTTCAACACAGTACAAACATCCAATACTGATTTTTTCAAATCAAAATTTGAGATTTAAATAAAACCTAAAGTGCATGTCAATCTAATCTAAGCGCGGTTGATTAATAACACTATGATAGTTAGATTTACTAGCATTGAGTACGCCCACCTATATTACCTAATTTTGGGCTGCTGATTTCAAAAATGCCACTCGTTTTGCTCCAGGACGTCTAGGATTCGAAATAATTGCGTAATAAAATGCTCTGCCCAATTATCTCAAAATGTAAGTTTTTTTGTTAATATTTTGATTATTTATTAAATTCTTTTGCCTTAAATCTATTCTGGATGTTCATTATATTTTTGACGTTTTTTGTTTAAAATATACAGGGACTCCATACAAAGTCATCGGTACACTGAGAAAAAACAATGATTATCTTAATCAAATATATAGTAACTTTTACTAAACATTCTGATTAGTATAGGCACAGCCATATTTACTGTTATGTTAACCATGTTTATATTGTTACAGTTTTATTGTCACTTTAACTATATTTTTGTTGTTGCACAAAACAATAATTTATTTAGTTATAATAATCATATGCAAATACCTTATAACCCTTTATATGGTTAAATATACTATGCGTATGATATGTATAAACTTTCTGTATAGTAAAAACTACAACGACATATTGTTAATAATGTGTGACAACATTATATTGTTATTGTAACCAGATAATCTTATAATTTTAACCATCTAGTGTAGTACTTACAGTTTAGCAATACATGATGGTTGTAATAGCCTAATCAAATATCTAACTTTACAAAATTTTTATAACAAAATGATTAGAGTACATATAACAAAACTAATTTTACGTATATTGTTATTACAACCATAAGTTATAATTAAATGAACCATATTTTGCATAACAAATCTGTATTGTTAGGGATTACAATATATTTTCTTAGAGTGTAGATAAATGTCAAATAGAAATTTTGTTTGTTCCATTGTAGCCGTATACTATATTAGTATTTTATAAGGGATATTTAATAAAGCACTTTTCTGCAGAGAAGTGCTTTATTAAATACCAAAACTAAAATTTTTGGTAAAAAGTATCATTTTTTGAAATTTTTGTGTCGTTTTTTTAATTACTAATTAAATTGAAAAGGAAACAAATTAAATGGGTTTTGGTATAAGCATTACTCTTCGACTATTATTTGAAATGTTTTTGTTTACATCATGCCTAAAGTACCCTAAAATTTAATCTTGAATCTTATTTATTAAGTTATTAAAGGCGCCTTTATCTACTTTATCGTTCAAGCACACTAAAGTGCATCTATTAATTATTGAAATTTAAAATTTAAACTTTAAATTGTATTTTTACTTGAAAGTGATTTTAAGAACTAAAAATGAAAAAAGAACATGAAATGGAAGTGGTAATGGAAGCAGAGAAAGAGAAAGGAGACGAACATTTATGTCGTCGTTGTAAACATTTATGTCGTCGTTGTAAATTTGTTTTGTTTTTGTTGCGGTACCTTTACGCCCAAGAAAAACCAACGCAATTTTTCATTACAAAATTTTATGAGATATACGTACTATGTACTTTAATTTTGCAGGAATATTAAATGGACCTGATATACGATGTTTAATGAAAGATCAAGCATTCAAAAATGCTCTCAAAGTTGACGAGCTTGTCGCATATGGCAGGGTTAAAGCTGTCATTGAAAATGTTCTTTGTTCATATATTGCCTAAAATTGGCACTAATTCATTGAAAAAATGTTTCCGTTTTGTAAAGAATTAGAGTTAATAAGTCATTTAAAATACATTTTATTTATTTTTCATCCTGATAAATTTGCCGAACTGATGAACATGGAGAACGATTTCACCAAGTAACTGCAAATCTAGAGCATTGGTAGATATTTATGGGTATAGCGGAAAAAAGTTGGATTATTGCTAGGAGAAATTTGCTGGAATTTGCAGCAAAAGATGTACGACGATGATGAGGATTAAGCACAATAATACTATAATCCAATTTGATATTTGATACGATTTAATAAAATTAAGGTAGAAAAAAGCAAAATTATGCAATGCATTAAATTTTGAGGGCTTAATTTGGAAAAAAAATACTGAAACTTGTTTACTTTATTGTCCTTTTAGTTTAATAATTAAAATAAACGACAAAAAATGTCAAATAATGGATGTTTTTTACATAAAGTACATTAAAATTTTAGTTTTAGTATTTAAAATGTCATATTGTTAAGATAAATATGATCTATTAGCCGTATACCAATTACTTTAGTACATTCAAGATAAATTTAAGCCTAAATAATTTAATAAATACTAACAAAAAACTTACATTTTGAGGTGATTGAGCAGAGCATTTTATTACGAAATTATTTTAAATCCTAGACGTCCTAGAGAAAAACGAATGACATTTTTTAAATCAGCGGCCCAAAATTAGTTAAACTAAGCTGGAGTACTTAATGTTAGGAAAAAAAGTTTGTAAAACTATCATAGTGTAATCATTTGTGCGCATTGTACACTAGCTCCTTTATCACGCTGCCAAGCGACGCGTTTCCTATATATTCTCATATGGGAGTTGAAGCTCCTGAATATAATCTTCTTAGTTTGACGTTTGAAATATGTTATAATATAGGTTATGTACATGAATTTATTCTACAGTGACCTGTAATTTTAAATTTTTTTTGCTGATTTTATGCTAAACGTGATAGGTGGAAGCACTCTTGCTATGTAATTTTAATGTATTTTCATTATTGTACGGTGGTGTACAATGATTTGACTATTAAATTGCGTACAAAAACAAAGTTATTCTATATATGCTTTATTATTATAATATAAAAATTGTCATACGCTTAAAAAAAAGTTTATTTTATACTTTGTAACTCATTACTAAGATCCCGGAATTGAGACTTTTGATCCCGGGATTTTCGGGATCGGATTTATTACGGGATCCCGAGATTGACATCCCTAGTAGAAACGTATTCCTCTTTTAATAATTACCCCTAAAAATTACACTTTGCTTAAAAAAAATGGGGGTAGTAATCACGCAGTGGGATCTCGTACTAAAAGTGTTTACTTACATAAGTATTTAAATTAATCGCAACACAAATCTAGATATTTTTAAGAGAATTGATAGTAGCAAAATATTACTCTGAATGTTTTTATTGATTTAAGTAACTTTAAATCATATACAATATAACGTTATGAAAAAATTGATTTTTACAAATTTGAACAAAATAATATAATATAATATAATATAATAATAATTTAAACTAGGACATGTTTTCCAAGGCATATCTGACTTAAATTGTTTGCAATATTTTCTTGTTATATTCACATGTAATGTATTCTTGTAACATTTCGTAAAACACACCCTTAATTTTAAATACCTGCATAAAAGGTGACATAGGCGAGGATGGAAAGTAAATATGACGGTCAGAATCCGGCAGTTCCTCGAGCTTTCCGCAGATCTGCGTCTGTTTATGGGTGCGAAAATGCTGATGCTGGGTCACGTTTAGACCTGAAAAGTGAATGTAACCCTTTGAACAGGGAACGTTTAATTTTAACAACTCGATGACGAGGCCGTGACCCGATTCGCGAATCGGAAACCACACTTGGCAGTCTGATGTATGGGGTATATCTCTGTGGCCAAACTCGGCTTCTTCCTCTCGCAGATAAAGTTGGCAATCTGAAACATATCTGGTGATTTATGTTTGCAAAAATTTTAATTTTTAATTTTTAAGAAAAATAGATTTTTTATTAATATAATTCAATTATCTTCAAAGGGTTTCTGATGAATAAAAAATTTTGCTAATAGATTGCTTTATTAGCATAGGTATATCGATTGGCTTATACCATAAAATTTTCGATTGTTTTGGGTATGAAACGCGCGTTGTGCAAAATTGTTGAATTTTAAATACAATTTTTTGCCAAAAACAATACTGTAATGATGTCCCAGCCTACATATTCGCCAGACATGCCTCCGTCTGACTTTTTTCTATTCCCCAAAATAAAGAGAACCTTAAAAGACCGTCGTTTTGTAAGCGTAAATGACATTAAAAGCGCATCGCTGAAAGAACTAAAGACTATCCCAAAGATCGCGTTTGAGAAGAGTTTATAGGATTAGAAGAAGCGCTGGCACAAGTGCATAATATCTAATGGGACTATTTTGAAGGCGACAACTTTAATGTAGACGAATAAATCAATATTTTTTTCAAAAAACGAAAATTCCCGTTATTCTCTGAACAAACCTCGTACATTCGATGCAACTATTTTTTTAAATGTATTTTGGCCTTCTAAACTCAACATTTTTTATGATCTTGAATATTATGGGCTTGAATATTGAAACAATGGACAAAAATAAGATGGGTTTCTCAGTTATTAGACACCAAATTTATAATGACATTAAATAGACAAGTTCGGCGCAGACAGAATTTAAATTAAATTTGGGAAAAAAAGTTAGTTTTTCGTGTCGCCTCACCCGCCCCTTGCCCCTCTATTTGAGATAATTCAAATTAAAGTGGTGCAATTTATAATCTATAACACAGTGCAACAGCAAAAAAAATATGATGTTCTGAAAGTGGTTTTCCTTTCTCCTATCTAAAGAATGCCTTTTAGCGTTTACAGAATGTTTAGATTGATTCAGGTTTTTTTTAATATCGATTTTAGCTTTTATTAATTTTGGAACCCGAAAACCCGTTATTTTTTAATTTAAACCAATTAACTGGTAGGAAATTGTTGTCATAACAATAAATTAAAAAGAAATAATAAAAAAAACAAAAATTAAAAAAAAAACACTATAAATTATTTCTTTCGTTAAATAGTTTAAAAATAAGATAATAAATTTTATTAAAATGACAAATAATTGTAAAGACAAAATAAAGAAATAATAAAAAAAACAAAAATTATAACAAAAAACAAAACACTGTACCTATAAATTATTTATTTCGTTAAATAGTTTAAAGTTAAGATAATAAATTTTATTAAAATGGCAAATAATTGTAAAGACAAAATACATTCATTTTGTTACTGGTGTGGAAAATTTGTTTTCAAACAGTACAGCCATACCATTTCATTGAGCGACGAAGAAATTTACGAGCACTATTATGGTATGCAAATAAATAAAAATGTAAACTGGGCTCCAAATACTATAATTATACAAAATTATTGATTTAAGTTTATAAAGAGTTATTTAAATAATAGTCGATACATCACATTTAAATGTTAGTTTTAAATTTTAAAGTCGTAATTTTTGTATTAAAAATTTATAGACTAATCATTTAAACCAATAATTTTGTAGAAACAATATTAAAAGTACAATTTTTAAAAATAAGTTTAATTGTTTTGAGTTAAAATTTAACTTTGTAAATTTCTGCTAAAACATCATTAAAGTACTAAACTTTAATCTTCAAACTATTATCTAATAAATGCTAAAACGGCGTGCATATATCGCATGTTTTTAATTTTTATACACCGTCAAATGATTAAAACAATCATCTTCAGTTGTATATTAAGTAGGGATTTTTGTCCTGGTTAGTTGTATCGGTCGGCCACGAAAGAAGGTGTTCCGACCCGAGCCCCTATTCTGGGGGAGCCTTTAAATTTTAAAGTCTTCCCTAATCTTATTAAAAATCACGCCGAAATTTATTGTTTTTATCAAGCATTTGGAGTTGGAGGCATCCGCAGGCATGCAAAATATAATATAAAGGATGATCAAGGATCATTGATCATAAAAAAGTATTGTTCGAGTTATTAAGCATTAAACCTAAAGTTAAGAAGGTTGACAACACATGTATATTTTTACACTTATTAGCAAATTTTTTATTTTTTTATACGTGTTACAAAATTAGGAAAGGCCATTTTAATAGGAATAAAATATTGCGACACGAGCCAAAGGCCATTTAAATGGAAATGGTCATTTCGCAAGGTTTAAAAACTACACTTTTAAATTTATTAAAAAATTTAGTACAATTTTGTGCAATTACCACAAACACAGATTTGATGACAAATTTCAGTGTCAATTCATTTTTAAGAAAACAATGGACCACGGTATAGTAATGATAAAAACTACCGCGGAGAAAAGTAAATGTAGTCTCGTTGAAAACATATTGTTTTTTATATAAGTAATAATAACATTAATTAATTGTAAACATTCAAAATTACTTGAATGCTAAATACAAGTTTATTTCTTATTTAAAAATGAAGAAAAATTTATTTTATTATTTAAAAAGTTTTGAATGATAAATGAAAATTTATTCGGTATTTAAAATTATTTGAAAGATAAATACAAATTAATTGTTATCCAAAATTATTTAAATGATGAATGAAAATTTATTTATTTAAATTTATATATATTTAAATTATTAAATCAAATCAAAATTTATTTTTATTTGAAATAAGCCCATCCCTGAATATAAAGATGGACATACAAATTGATAAGAAGTTTGTTCAAACTTCTTTGTTACTTATTGCGAGGACCCTTCTGACTCCCTGAAACATAAATCAGATAATGAACCAATTTTTTAAATTAAAAAACTCTTCATAAAGAAAAAAATAAGTCTTAACAGACTAAAGAGCCTCATTTTATTTGTCTGTCTGGGCTAATTGGTGTCAGGTTCAAACCAAAATAAAAACTTTATATAATAGTTAAAAATATAAATTAAAAGTGCTTACACTAAAGACCAATTAATTAATTACATAAATAAATACAATAAAATTAAACAAATAATTGGTACTTAAAAAATGGTTATAAATAAATAAAGGGTTTGTTTTATCTCAACGCATAGGCTTATTAAATTCAAATATTAGCAGGCTCATTGGGATAAAACTCACGGGACGTTTTGTTGTGCTAATTTTATTTTGATGAGTTCGCATTTTAATTATTATTTAATCTTGTTTTAAAGAAACATAAACCTATTTTGTATGCTTTAAGAATGTAATATTTTACGTAAGTATTTTATATTGCAAATTTTATACTTTAGTTAAAATGTAGCAGCTAAGTTATGTTTAAAATGTGCAAAATTTTTTGGAATAGTCACACTGCTTTTAAAATTTAAATATGTGTATTTCTTAAAATTTGTCGTAGAATAACGGATTTAATTAAGATTAATTAATTATTTAATAAATGTATTAAAAAACCAAAATGAAAAGAAGTAACATTATCTTAAATTAGTGTATAAACACATTTTAAATTTATATACATTAAATTATAATATAAAAATATTAAATAAAATAATATAATTATAAAACATAGATTAAAAAAAATTAAAATTAATAAATTTAATTTAGTTTCAAGTTTGGCGAATGCGCCGGGATGAATGCACTAAAAATTTTACTTTACTAGTATTATTATGAGCAACATTTTGAATAAAATAGTATATTCTGTAACAAGTTTGGAATACAGCATATTTTGTTCGAGTGAAGAGTTTGTCACACGAGCCGAAGGCGACGTTTGAAATTGCATATTCCGCTCTCGTGAAACCGTCAAACTTGCCTTCGGCTCGTGTGACAAACTTTTCACTCGAGCGGAATATGCCGTATTAAAAACTTGTTACAGAATATAATATTATCTATGAAATGACATTTATTCCGTGTCAAAGAATAAAATATTCTATCATCGGATGACAGAATAAACACTCGTGGCGACATTTTTGTTTTTTTTATCTAACAAATTTTACACCGATCCAACCTCACTTTATTTTAATGAAATTTTTTTTCTATGGTATTTTTTGGAAACATAGAAAAAGTATAGTTCGAAACACGTTTGGAATTGCATATTCCGCTATCGTGAAACCGTCAAACTCTTCACTATGCTGTATTCCAAACTTGTTACAGAATATACTATTAAATTATAGAATATTAAAGAATTATTATTATTATTTTTTTTTACTTAATTGGTATTTTTAACTTACCTTCCATTATAGGATACGTATATAAAATTTGATAGGTGTACTTGTCATAGCGATATTTCAACCTGAAAATAAAAAAGGGTAAATTACATACTTTTTACGAAATAAATTTACAAATTTTACATGTAAATTAATTTATATTTATTTTTTCTCCTTTTAAAAACAGAATTTGTCACGCTTTTTTTAACTTAAAAAATGAGATCACTTTAAAAAGCTTTCTTTAAAAATTAAATCAAATATTATCGGATTTATTTACCCTTGAGTTTGATTAAATTTGTCTGAAAAGGGAATTGCTTAGATGAAGTGGATACATTTAATAAACAAACCAATACCTTAAGATGTTACAAAATTAAGTGCTATTTTGGCTTAAGGCAGCCATTGATTGAAATTAAACATAGACGATCTTTGACACAAAATTTTGCTTTATAAATTTACTTATAAAATTAAATTTTATAAAAATATTTGATCTAAAATTATCCACACCACGCCTATTTATTTTTATATTTAATATTTAAAGAGCGTCTGTTTGTACACTTATAAAATAGGCAAGTTAAGTTTTTAAATTGGTATTAATTAATTAAACATTTGTTAGGGGTAACTATTTATGGTTTTTATTTATTACATTTATACATAAATAAATTTAATCATAAACATAAGATTTTAAATCCGATTATTAAATAAGTGGCAATTAAATTTAAAAACACAAATTTAACAAATATTATATTATCTAAATATAAATATGAGAATTAGAGCTAGTTGTGTTAAACTTTTTTTTTAAACAATACATAAAATAAAAAATTACTGAAAAATTATAAAAAAAATGTTTAAAAAACTTTTTATTTTAATTTAAAATATCATATTTAATATTAATTATTTTAAATTTATTTATTTATAAAAACATAATTAAAACTATGTAAATAATACAGATATGTGAAACTGGTAAAACATGTTCTTGAAGACTACAAATATTGAATATGCTTTTCATCAAATATTTACACGTGTATAAGATTTCTTGTAGTGAAAAGTATTTGGGTGTAGATACAATTATAGCCGAGTGTATTCGGGGTATTCAAAGAATTTATTGAAAAGTGTAATGCCAAAGTATGTAAAGCTTCTATAGAAATTTATATAACATACAAGAAAGAATTATATAGTTTAATTGTAAATGAAATAAATATAGGTATATTTTATGAGTTCAAGTTTATTTTCCATAAAAAATTAAGGTAACATAAAACATAATTGTAAAAATAATTTACGTTTGACAGTTTAATTTAATTTATTACAAAATTAATAAAAAATTTAAAGTATACCTGTTTTAAAATAAAAATTAATAAAAAGTATAATTTAAACATGAACAAACTCAAAAATGACATTATCTAATATTTTTTTGTAAAATCGGCAATATAATAATCATTTATAAAGGATAAATTAGGTTTTCATATTATTCCATTTAATTTAAATAAAATAACAAAGTTAAAATACTTTTAAAAATAATGTACTAAATTTTTAAATAATACTTTTATTATATGCCAATAATTTTATTAAGGGGGTTTGTTGATTGTCTGGTTTTTAAATGAACGAAGGCACTTTTAATAATTATTCTTCCGTGTATACAAATTAACCTAATTCTTGCTTAAATCCAAAAAATAAACTGATTTTTAACATTACTCTTATCTGTATAATAATGTTTGATTCACAACAAATGAGAATCATTAAACAAAATTTTCGATATTGACAGATGTTGCATTATTTACAATGAATTTTTATTCTATAATTCAATTTGTACCAGCATGCTCACTAATAAAATAGCCGTTTTCACTTTTAAATAGTTTCTTTTTACTACTTAAATAGTTAGTTTAAATAATTTAAGATTAATCAGCATCTTTGACTGTTTATGAAAGAAAAAAGTAACTAATTTCTTTAATCGTTTTTAATTTTTGCGGCCCATAACAAATTATTGTTAGAGCTTAATTCATGTATGGTTAAATTGCCCATAAAAACAAACAAAGATGCAAAAAGTTAAGCTCAAAACAGCAACACAAAAAATATATTCAACTTTAAAATATTAACAATATTTCTAGACAAATAATAACTACTATTTATAAAAGTGGCAAAAGCACCCTCTCTTAAAATAAAATAGTCAAAATTCTTCTATTTGAATTAGTACCAGCATTTTTTACTAATAAAAAAGTTTTTTTTTACTAATTGCATAGTTCAAGATTGACTAACTTAATATAAGTCAACATCTTTTACTGTTTTTGAGAGTGATAAGTAACTAATTTCTTCAATCGATTTTATTTCCATGCCCATGGCCATTAACAAATTATTTTTAGCAAAAATTCATGTTAGCCCCATGTTTAAATGGCTCATTAAAACAAACAGGGATGCAAAAAGTTTAATTAAAATCTAAAAAAATTAAATGTACTATTGTTTTAATATTTTTTAATTTAATTTATTTTAAACAAAATATTATTTTACTAGCCGGGGTATTTTTATTAAATAAAATAAATTTATTCTGGTGTATGTTAATATTTATTATTAAACCCAAATAATAATTATTTTTGTCATAAGGCTGGAAGTATATTTTAGTTTAAATTTTGAAAAAGACACTCCTCAGTCGAATAGCATACAATATTTTATTTTCAAAGCACAGTTTTATTTGTTAAACTATACACAAAACGTACTTACAACGCTTACTAGTAGTGAATCACTACCAAAGTATTTGATTACATCCTAGGCTGTAAAAATTATTTGGAACAATCGGGTAAAAAAATGTACATCCTAGTCTGTAAAAAATTCAATAACTACTGACAGCTCTGAAGCTATCTTACCTCACTTTATACTTATTACACTGTTTAAAATATCTGTGGTGTAAAAAGTAATCTTAAAATGGTGTCAAAATCCATCACCAAGTGGTGTTAATATAACACCATAAATTATGGTTGAAAATGTGTACCGATCGCGGCAAAGGCGGTGTGGATCACGTGATGTTCTTAAATCTCACGTCTGTTGACTTACATGAAGAATATATAAACTGAGGTAATCCTTTGCATTGGTGTGACACTACAAGTTGTTCGATACTAAAGAGACCTTAAATAGGTGAAAATTTTCTGTTAACAGCTGTCAATACTTAAAGTATTTTAAGTTAGTGCAACGCACTAAAAACATTATCTCTAGCGAGTTGAAGGTTCCATTTTCTGGAATAATACCACTGGTAATATACTAGTAATGCGTCAAGGAACTTCCTGTTTCCTTTTTTTTCCTTTTTTCTGTGTAGTATGATTTAATTTGTCTACAAACACATAATATTTAACACCGAAAAGGAGTTCAATTTACACCAAGTAAAATTTATTTTAATACTGTGTGAAAGTTAAATTAACACCATTTTAGTATTTGAATTTACACCGGCCAACGGACCTTATTTAACACCATTTTGGTTTGTATCGATATAGACCATGTTTGGTGTTAATTTGGTGTTAAAATGGTAATGAAATTTTGAACAGTGTATAATTATATGTAAAGCTTCGCTTTACTTTATACTTTTAATTTATAAATAAATAATAATTTAAAAAAATACGTTTTTTGTATTGAAAATTAGGACTTAAAGATAAAATGTTGTATGGCATGCGGTTAAGAAATGTCTTTGTGTATTTCGCTCAATTGTAGCCAATTTGTAGGCCTCCGCTACGCATCGGCATCCAAACATTGAAATTAGCATGAAATGACACAATTTTTAACTATTAAGTATTTAGAGTTTATAATACAGGTAAAATATAAGAAGGCCTTTAAAACACTCCCGCCAACGTATTTTAAAGGCATTCTTATAAACTTGTATAAAATGGTATTTTTAAATTTAATAAAGTTAAAACAATAATAAAATTTCATGAAAAAATATTTGTTTGCTTAAAAATAGCTATTTTCCTTATAGGCTATGCTAGAAAATATTCAAAGGTTATGAAAATTTATAGCTAATCCGTAAAAAACTTTCCGAAAATATTTTAATAAAATAAACTGTTTTAATAAAAGTTTAAAGCAAACAATAGTAAACTATTGGGGAGAACAACAAAAAATGTAAACCCATCAAATGTTTTAATACTTACTGAAAAGTTATATTAGGTCTCGTGTAGTCCACGCTGGCCTGAAAAGTCCAATTCAAGCTCACTTCGTTGGATTTCAATTGACTTGTAAAGATGTGCGGTCCACAGTCAGGGTACTGATGACCCTGAAACTCTCCCGACAACTTTTCACCCATTGTGGTTGATATCACAAAGTCTATTGTCGGGCCTTCTTGATCCATTCTTTGTATTATAACTGAAATTAAAGAAAACTCGAGTTAAGACTTTATTGATTTGTTGTTCTTAACTTATTTTTAAAGAAACTATTTAACAATGATACAAGATAATATACATTTTTTTCTCAATAACTTTTTATTTCATATATTTTCAGAAATTAAATTAAAGGTCAATGAGAGGGTGATAAAATAATAACTAAATAAAATCCTACATTTTATTAAATAAATACCAATAAAATGTATTATAATACATCTTATTGGTATAATTATAAAGTTGTAATGATTTAAAGTTTTGAATTTTAAGATATTTTTAAACTTTAATATAGGTACCTTATATTTCTATGAATTTTTTGAAATAAAAAAAAAACATGAAAAATTTACATTGTGAATGTTTCTCTCAGGCATTTTTTTTACTACAAATGATTAATATACAATAAAGTTCTTTAAATGTAAAACATTATTAGGTTAATATAAATCATTTAAAGAAATATAAAAGCGAAATATTACGTGTTTTCTCATATGCAAATATAATTATACTGCCAAATAAACATAAAATCATAAGTATTAGTTCCCTTATAGTTTTTCAACACCCAAATACGCAAAATACCTAGAATCAAATAAAAAAATGATAATAATCAAGTTTTTTTTATTTATTACTACGTTTAAACAGCATTAAATTCATATAAATGAAGTAGTAAATATTTCAACAAAATTATATTTAGGTCATATTAAGTTTGCGTGTCGAATTTTAATTATGATGGGATTTTAAGAATTGTATTTTTCATAAACAATACACGTGTATTTAATTCACATTTTAAAGTTAAGAACGAGACAAAGCTTCAAAGCTCTAGTATAGTATATGTCAAATAAATGAATAGATTTTCAATAAATAAAAAAAAAGAAATTTTAAAATATTGATTTTTAATTACTTTGTATAAAAACTTCAAGCTGACATAATTTTTTTAATTTGAGTGGGTGCCTAATCTTGTTATATTGAAGAGAGTACAAATATACCTTTATGGTATAAAAATAATTTGAATGTATGCATTTAATGTTTTTAATTTTCCAACTGGTTTATTTGTAGAAGCAACAACAAATCAAATGGTTGTTTGGTTACAATTTTAAGTTGGTGTGTCCAAATTTTGTTACACACTGTGTCGAGCTAAAATTTTTGGGTTTTAACCGCAACAAAAGAAATTTGTTTTTTGTACCAGTCAGAGCCGAGCCAACCCAGGATGCAAAGGGTGCACTGCGGCCGGGCAGCAACTATCGAGGGGCGGCACTTTAGAAAATATTTGTACAGAAAGTGACGGTATATGCATGTATAGAGATAGTTGAAGTACGTCTTTTTCATTAGCGGCAGACAAAAAACTCAAAAAAGCCTAGGGATAGAAGTAAATCCATAGGTGACTCAATAGACGTCAAATAATAAAATTAATTTAGCATTTCATACAAAGCAATCACGATGTATTAATTATATTAATTATAATCGCACGGAATATTTAGTGATTATTTATTAAATTTTAATTGAACGAAATAAAGAACAACTAGTTTATTAGTATAATATAATGATGATAGACGAGTCGCCAATGTCGGAACTCCAAAAAAATGTCAGTACGTCAAAATTAATTCAAGCGCAGCATTTTGACAGAGCAGTGTTTATTTTTAGTTTAGGCTTTGTTATCTATGGTTTAGGATATTTATCGGCATTGTAAGTAAGGGTTATAAGTTTTTTTAGTTTTTATCAATAATTTGTAATGCTTTTAGCCAAAATTTTATACCACATGAGTTATAAGTAAATAAAATAATTCTATTGCTTATCCTATTTATATTACGCCCTTGAAAAAAATTGTATATGTTATTTGGAGTAGAAGCTCTTTTTGTGCTTCGTACAGTTGCCTGCCTCTGCTACGCTTCGGCCGTCAATCTCTGTACTCACCACAAAAAGAGCCACTTCTACTCCTTATGACATAATCTACTATTTTTAAAACTTTACCAAGTGGTGAATCCGTTCAACGCACTTGGATATACTCTGTGTTTTGTTTCCCATGTAAGTTATTTGGAAATGCATTTAGTTCTTTGGGCCTAGATGGATTTCGAGATTGGCAACATTTATCGCGAACCTTAAGCCGACATGAAAGTTCTAATGATCATAATAAATGTTGCAACAAAATGATTCAATTACAAACTTCATTAAAGTGTGGCTCAACAATAGATTATTTACAGGAAAAACTAATTAAAAGTGAACAAAAAAGATGGTGTTCTGTTTTAGAAAGAATTATATCGGTTGTTAAATTTTTAGCTAAGCAAAACCTAGCTTTTAGGGGTAGTTTTAGTAAATTATTTTGTAATGTTACACGTTACACGTCTAACTCGCAGCAGAGCAGCAACAGCAGCCCAGCAGATAAGACCTGAAGATGGTACATGAGATTGTACCGAAACGTCGTCAGACATACGGTTCTTTTAAAAACCAAAAACCGACAACCACTAATACATACATAATAATTTTATTAAGTGCTTTTAAGATTTTTTTTCCTTTAAGGGGCGGCAAGCTTTTAATTGCACCTGGCGGCAAAAACACTTGGTGCGACCCTGGTAGCAGTCACCAACGTCATTAAGTACTAAAGCAAATAAATTAGCTATTTAAAAGTGTGATTGTCATGATTTCTAGAGCAACTAGTTTTACGAATTTACGAACTAAAAGACAGTGGCGGCTGGTGGATTCAAATTAAAGTGATTCACTGAAGTTTATCACAAATTTCAAATTTTTATTAAAAAAATTCAAGAATTACAAGTTTTCTACCATTTTAAATTTTTATTATTTCTTTTAAAATTAAAAAAAAAATAGAAATGGTATAAACTCTGTAATACTTGAATTTTTTTAATAAAATTTGAAATTTGTCGATAAACTTCAGTGAATTAATAGTATTGTATTTTTAGCATGCTAAAAATACAATACTGCACTTAATAAGTTTTTCTAGACCACAGATATAATTGTTCTATGATCGCGAAGGTAGTTAACTACTTTTAGACAAAAATGGAGTTAATGACTTTTGCCAGAACGGTGACGAAATATTGTATCACTTTAATTTGAATTATCTTAATATGGGGGCAGGAGGCTGGGGGACACATGTAAAAACTAACTTTTTTTTGAAAACTTCAATTTTTATTCTGATTGCGCAGAACTTGTCATTATAAACTTATATAAATTTGATGTGGGTCCCATGTCTAATAACTAGGGATGGGATATTTAGGTACTAAAAACTGAAAAATAGGTAACTAAAAAGGTACTAAAAAAGGCATTTTAGGTTAAAAAAACAGCATTTTAGGTAAAAAAAACATTAAAAGTTCAAGTTTCTTTTATAATTTTGTTTAGCCGCATACCCAAACACAGAACATACCCTCAATAAACTATTTCTATGCAATAAACTGTGTTTCACTGAGTAAAAATACATAAAAATAGATAACAAATAATATTATGTGAAAATAAACTGACAAATTAAAAAATATGTAACAAAAGTATAAAAAGGTAGTTTAAAGCAAAAACCTCCAAAAAAGGTAAAAAAGGTGAAAACTAGTTAAAAAAATAGGTAAGAAAAGTATAAAAAAGGTAGTTTAAAGCAAAAACCTCCAAAAAAAGGTAAAAAAGGTGAAAACAAGTTAGGTTCATATAAAAGAAAATCTTTTAAAACACATTTTGGCATTATTGGTTTTCAAATAGTTACATCGGTTGAAAAAAGGTAAAATAACTAAAATCCCATCTCTGGGGGTGCCCAAAATCCACCAGCCGCCACTGCTAAAAGAGCACTTTCGTATATAACTTTTTTAACAATCATTTTAATGCAATAGAGTCCGAGACTGGCCAAAACTTACCTCCTGCGTGGTGTATAACCTCGTATATAACGTTTTATCTGCTCCCACAGGTAGGCTTCATGTAATAAATAAGTCGTATTTTTTTATCATAAATGTGGAAATTATTTGCCGAGGCGAAAGCATATTAAATTTTATCCGAAATCACATTTAATAATACTAATAATTAATATTGATGAATAAATCAAATGTCATTTGAATGTAGGAAGTGCCTAAGTAGTTTGTTGCGACGTTTATTATATATTTGCCCGCCGCAGCGATTTTTTAATCTAATTAATAAAATTAACTTATTATTTTTATTAAACAACATTTTATGAAAGGGTCCAACCGTCGCGGTGCTTTTTTTTTAATATTATTTAGCTGCTGCTGAGGAGCAGTAGACACATCTTAAATCGGCAGTAAAGTTCTACAAAACTGCCGATTTCTTTTACTTTACTGCCGATAGTTGACTACTTTACTGCCAATTTCGGATAAATAATTTTTTTATCAATTTATGACACTGACACTAAGTAATTTTTAACATTAAAGAATGTCTGCATGAATTTGTCGTTATTAAGACGTTGTTAACCCATGGGAGGTAAGTGGCTCACCTACATCCAAAATCGTTAATAGCAACCATCCTACATCGTTAATAGCAACCATCCTTTCACGGTAAATTCAACTTACCTACTATAAAACAATGTAACAATAGCCTAGTTACCATAGTGGAAGCAGATAAACCATTTTACCAAAGGAATTATTAATTTAATAAAAAAAATATATTTTTTTTATATCTTTGCAAAAAATTCATTTTATTCATACTTTCTACTTTTTTATGTAAAATCAATTCCAAAATAGTTTATTTTCATTTCATTAGATTAGCAAGGCTCTTAAATTGGTATAACAGAAAAAAGCGTAACGCTCAGTAGAAGATATTTACTGGAATTTACAAAAAGAAACTGAAGAAATAAGGAAAACAGTTTTAATGGTTTAAAATGTGTAAAATCATAAAAGTAGAAAGTATAAATAAAATGCAATTTTTGCAAACAAATGATATTAAATTGTTTTTTTTTAACTAAATCGATAATTCATTTAGTAAAAAGGTTTCTATTTAGTGTATTTAAACAAAACAGTCAATTTACAATCAAATTTAGCTAAATAAATTACTTAAATAACGCCAAAAAAATTACCATTTGAAAAAATTAAATAGCCTAACCTAAAAAACGACCAACACTACTAAATTTAGCTTATACGGTATACCCAATTTGACTTTACCTAATAGATACGAGGTGTTCAATTTATTGATTTGCACTTGAAATACTGAAAAATAACTTAAAAATACATATTTTGGAAATTTTAGTTGAACTACTAAAAATAACCCAAAAATATATATTTTTATCAAATTTAATACCCCCCCCAGAAGCAAATACTGCGCACGGCCCTGTAAGTAAGTTTATAAGTTAACGCCTTTACAATTAACAAAAAATGAATATAAATATATTGGTTAGTTCCTTCAAATACAAAAGAAATTTAAATTAAAATGGTTAAATTCAGACCCAATACTCGTATATATTTTTCCAGTCTACCATTTTTATTACATTTTATACAGGGTGACTTACTAATTCATAGAGGTTTATAGTGCGATGTGATCTATTTTTCTGAAATGTTTTTAATGCGCTGTCACTTCCAGTTTAACCCGATAAAAAAAATATCTAAAGTAATTGTACAAAAAGTCGCCCGTGTTGTTTACGACACATAATAATTTTTCTTTTGACACCTTATTTAGTCAAATATAAATGTTAAAACCATCCAAAGCACATTTGTGACACATGTGTGACACTTGTGCCTAAGCAGTTTTTTCACATTTTTAGCATTTAAAGTAATAAAAAGTAAACATAAATACCAAACATTTTGCAATATTATTAACGGCTCCTAATAGGAAACGTCGTTGTTAACGTGTATACCAAGACTGAACCTTTTAACATTACAATTAATTTTTTTGTAAAAATTAAATATCTCAAAAACAATTTCAAATGCAATAATAGGTATTTATACATTCAATGTTCAAATGAAACCTTATATATTGAACATCGAGCTGCATCCAAAATTTCAGATTGATGTCTCTTTTAGTTTTCTATAAACCTTTAATGAATCACCCTGTATAATGTGCCTAAAAAACTATAACTTTAGGTACCCAATACCTATTTATTATTAATACATTTTTAGGATACTATAGTAGTAGTACTATCCTAAAAAATGCCAGTATACTAGCAAATAGTAAATAATAGTTATTTAAAGAACTATTATTTACACTTTGCTAGTATACTAGCAATTATGTCATAAGACTCAGAAGTCTTCATGCAGAACTCAAAGTTTAAGCTTTATTTGCTAAACTATACATAAAACATATTTACAATAAAAAGGTTAGATAGTTTAGAGCTGTCAATTTTTAATTGGTCCGAACGGGTTTTTTACATACTAGGATGTAAAAAACTTCTTTTGATTAATACTTTGGTAGTGAGCGTTGACAATAATAAAGCTTAAATGTGCGCGATCTTTTTTACTTCACTCGCTTTGAAGTGAGCTGAGAATTTTGCTGGGTTTGTTCACGTTTTTAAAATATACTTACTTAAATAGGACTTAAGTCTTTATAAAATAAAAAGTTTATTAATTTATTATTAATAATTAAACGCAAATTCAAAATTGGTCCATGATCAATCAACAATATTTTTGTTTAATTGATAAGTTTAATTTACGTTGCCTTTATGAAAAAAAGTATCTCACTTTTATTTTACTTTTATTTCTACCTTCTTATTAAATGACATTTTATAGGTTAATTTTGTTGTTTTTGTATCCAAGTAAAGATACATTATGGGAACAGACCTGTAATATTTTACGGGCTTGTATAAAATACCTGTAAAGTTTTACAGGCTTGTAGAAAAGCAATTTATAAATGTAAATGTCATATTAATTAAAATTTTAAATTTGAAAATCGTTAACTAAAGATGAAAATAAAAGTTTGTACGTGTCACGCTTTTCAATTAATCTTTACTGGGTTCACTGGATTCACAAATTTCCAGCTCGCCCGTAAAGATTCATTAACAAAGCTTGACACGTAAATAACTATTGTAGAAGTAAAGGGACTTTGACTAACTACCACAGGTGATAAAGATTATAACTACAACAAGGACGATGCTACCAGGATTAATATTAAATAAGAGATACATACCACTACGGTATGGTATACTCTGTAAATTCAATTTACCACCACTATAAGTGGCACGGATTAAAACAAAATAGTTCAAAATTGTACAACTTTGGGTCATGGTAAATTTTAACATTACAACTGGTTATATATAAATAGCTTACCACTACAATAGTTATTTATGTCATTAGGTTAAGAAGTAAGGCTTTTGTGCTAAGCTCAATTGAGCGAAGCACAAAAAGGAACTTCTTGGCCGAATGGCATACAACATTTTATCTTCAAAGCACTTTATATAGGTCAATTTAATTCAACATCACAGCGGCCTAACCTCACTTTTTTAGAATCTCATTTATTTATTAGCTAAAGATTACATTAAATGTACAATAATTATTATTGCTTT